TTTTTACAAAAAAATGCCATGCATGCTGTTTTTTCGTTGCAGAGCACAATTAATCTTTGCTGTTAAAGCCATAGAAGTTGCAAAAGTAATTTTGTTGACATGAAATATCTCTTATGCCCATTTTAGAGGCTTCATTTTTCAAATATGACAGTACACTGTGAGCCAAATGTTGATGTTTTTACTCTACTTTTTACCAGTTTATTGTATTTAAATTTGATCATTTCCTTTGATCATCTCCATCAAGTGCATTCCTGTTAGTTAAATTCTCGATTGTGGCTGTAATTGGGAGTGATGTAATACACAGAGGTGTAACTAAACACTCTACTAAACACAAAGCAAAACACGGGGGGAGAAATGATTCAATATGGAGAAGTGTTTCACAAATCTCAACTTTCCAAGTGTTATGCTTACTTGTCAATAGAGGCTACGGAAAGAGACATCATCATATTGCAGATCTGAAGGGTGGGGCTTATATTTTATATATCATATAAGAAATGCTCTGCAAGGTAATGCAATCTAAGCATTATGAATCACTCAGGAAATGAATGCTTGTCCTCTGAATCTCCTCACCCAGAAGTGCTGACTAAAGCTCTCTGCTGTAATTTATTATACACACGTAGCTTAGTGCAAGCTGCCCAAGCGGCAACGCAGTGACTATGAAAAACTACACTGAATTAGCAGCGGGCGCCTCAGTGCTTCTCCCCTATTTCTTAAAGAAATGCATGTTTTTGTTATGCTACATCAGCAGTGCATACTGAGTGGCATTAAAACCTGTTCAGCATCCGGCATAACGACACCACCAATGATAGCTCAACTGTAAAACCGTCATCATCGAGATTATGTTTCTGCGGTTTGTTCTCTCTGGAACCCGAACATCATGCCCTGTTTAAGTACCACAAGGAGATCAAAGCCAACCCTCAGAATAGACTCTGATAAAGCGTACTGTATCTATACTGGCCCTCCCTTGTTTTCCCTCATGAAATTCAATTAAGAGATCAGAACAGAGACCATTACTGCCCCTTTTAGGCCTAACCTGCTGATACAAGATTTTAATCACATGCCATCCTCTAAAGAGGACTATTAAAGCAAAGCACATCTCTCTCTCTTTCTCGCTTTCGTCCTTTAACTCTCTCTGTCTCTCTCACTCTCACACACACACACACACAGACAAACACACATATGCGTGCACACAGACACTCTCACTGACACTTTGTGACTCCATCCATTAGTATCCATAGTAACAAAGACAAAGGTTAAGTCATTTTCCAGATGAGACTCGAGCAGATTTTGGCAATATAGGACCTCGTTGCCAATCATTTTAATTAAAAGCCTCTCAGTGTCTGACACAATATCTCCCCTTTCTGTTGAGGAAACCCATCTTTGGTAGATTAAACAATTAACGTTGCCTGCCAACATCTAATTAGTCCTAAGAATTATTGTAATCGATCAGGAAGTCGAAGGTAGAAAACAAAATACTGGATTTGATTACAACTGTCTTAGAAATGATATACAGTATGTTTTTTCCTTAAAGAGGTGCACTGAAACTGTATTTTAATGCATTTCAAAGCACATTTTGTCCATTAAAATTTTTATTTAGTAGTTTGGTTCTGAAGTGAACAAATATTAATAATTTTACATTAGTACTTTGGCAGAATCTGGGACTTTCAGTATTAATATATCATCATTAAAGTAATTACAGTAGCACTGCACTGTAGGACAGCATTCATAAGGCTTCCTACATAAGCCTTTCACGACAACTGACATAAACCTATATAGACATGTATAAAGGCTTATTTGAACAAGCATCTGTTGCCATGACACTAAGTGGTACTGCAATTGTATCACATCAATGAAGAAAATAAAGTGATTTGAAGAATTATACAATTATATGACATAATTTCTCATTAACCCAGCTTTCGAACTGAATAAAAAGACAAGTGTAGACGTCAAACACAGAAAACAGGTACGGGGGACAGGGCAGGTGATTTGGATAAACATCTTTCACAGCGAGAACTCTCTGGATTTCTATTTGATTTCCATGCACTAACATAACGTAAATAGTATTTCTGCTGACAATTCATCACAACTCATATAGCACCATATTACCCACTCTGTAAAGATTTTAATCCTTTCTTTTTTGTTCAACTTGCATTTGCAGTAATATAATGTTGCATTTTTTTGTATTTGGCATTTATAATTAGGCAAATAGTAAAGTTACAACTTTTCATTGACTTTGTCATGAATGATTTTTAATTAAAATGTACATCAACCGGCCACTTCATTAAGTACATCACTTCCTTCTACCTAGGCTCAATTTTCATCTCCATTTTTCATTTTCAGCTCCACTTACAATACAGGTGCACAGTGTGGTTCTACAGTTACAGACTGTAGTCCAGTCTCTGTCTCTGCATTAACCCCCTTTTACCCTTTTCTTTAATAATCAAAACCACCACAAGACCACCACAGAGCAGACATTATTTGGGTGGTGGATCATTCTCAGCACTGCAGTGACAATGACGTGGTGGTAGTGTATTAATGTATGTTGTACTGGTACGAGTGGATCTGACACAGCAGTGCCGCTGGAGTTTTAAACACTGTGTCCACTGTAGCTTATCTGCTGCTGCACAGTTTGTGTTAGCCATCCCCTAGTCCTTTATCAGTGGTCACAGGACGCTGCACACAGGACGCTGTTGGCTTGGTGTTTTTGGTTGGTGGACTATTCTCAGTCCAGCAGTGACCCTGAGGTGTTTAAAATCTCCAGCAGCACTGCTGTGTCTGATCCACTCATACCAGCGCAACACATACTAACACACCACCACCATGTCAGTGTCACTGCAGTGTTGAGAATGATCCACCACTCAAAGAATACCTGCTCTGTGGTGGTCCTGTGGGGGTGCTGACCATTTAGTATTTCAGTTGGACCTTTTCATTTGGTAAGTGGAGCTAATAAAATGGACAATGAGAGCAGAAACGTTATTACACGTCTGCCTCTGAACTTCTCATTAAATTATTGTTGACTTAATTATTGACTGAACTTCTGCAAATAATTACAGACTATATTCTGTTACGGGAAGTTATGCAAAGTCTGCACAGATATTATGAGAAGTTATTAAAAACCGCACCATACTTCAGCAACTAAATCTGGTCTTGTTTTGCAACCCAGCAACTGAGACCTATAATCACAAATATGAGCAAACTGGCAATGTTGCCCCCACTGCTGAGATTCTTTAAAAACAATTAAAATGCTGTTATATTGTACTATAAATCATGTCAGTGGCAGCTAACAAATGGACTGCAGTGTTTCTCTGCTCAGATGACAGATGCTTATGTCTTTAGCAAAAAAGCTTTAACTTATTGTTAGACAGACAATACTTTATTCAGTCTGTGAGGCTGGAGTTGGAATTCTAGAAGTATTGTTATTTTGTAATAAAGACCATGGCCACACATATTTCTGTCATTGTGCTTGTAGACATCTCTCAGCCTCATCATTGACCAAATTATGGATATATATTGGGGTTACATCAGAGGATTTTACAGAACTGATTTGAGAGTGCATTTTATATCAGTGTGATAAGCTGGCCTCTGTGCTTCATGCCAGTAATTGTGATTATAAGCCTAATGGGAGGTTACAAAATGAGTTGGCAGTTCACCACACTGCCTGTTTCTGTCTCTTCAGGTTGATAAGTAAGTAAGGTGGGTACTTGTAGTACTTTGGAACACTATGTGAAAGAAATTGTTAAAAAAAAAAACACAGAGAAAGGGTCATTTTTTAGATCTCCCACTGGGCCACCAATTTCTATTGCTCTGCTGACTGACCAGCTGTGCCAGTGAACTGAGGTCAGTGGTGATGACGCAACTGTGTAGGCACAAGCACTTGTTCATGTGGCTTAGGACCAGGGGTAGCAGACATTTGGAGACAAAGACACATTCTCAAATCACACGGGTAAAACCATTAGCCTATGTAAGGAAATGGGCCGGTGCGTTTCAGAGAGCAAAAGCAGGTGTAGACAGAGTAAGACATCTGGTTTTAAAACTACTCTACTTTATAAGGAATATCATGGCAAAAGTTGCCTGAACATTAAGTAGCAAATTACTTTTTGAAAGAAAAAAAACACATTAAAAGCAGGTCTGCATGGTACAAGTTAGATCTAAAAGCCACAACAGCTTGAAATATGATTCAAATTTGGTTACTTGCCATGATATTGTTTGTGAAATAAATTACCATTAGTGATTATCTGGTAATATCTGCCAGCAAAGGACATTTGATCTCTTTTACTCAGCTCCTGATCTGAGAAGTCATATCCTCTGTAGCTCTAAACTTGCAGCCTGTTGAATATGTGCTGATATGTCGCCTGTATTATTACATCAATTTTTGGGCAAGTGGGAGGTCAAAGCTACAGCAGTTTCCTGTTTCAAGAGAGCTGTGCTTTGTGTCTGCCCTGCAGCCACTATTAAGTCCTGCTGGGCCTGCAGATTAAATCACATCACTCCTGACCAACAGCAATCCACTGTTCCCTACCAAAGACGCAAAAGATATTAGAGATGATGCCTAGAGCAACTGCCAGATAACAATGCCGCAAGTGAGCATGTGTCCAGACTATGACCTCTCTCATCTCTGTAGTTATACAATGCATTCTCTTAGCAAACACGGTTGTCATGCCAAAAACAATTAATGAGCAATCAAGACAAATGCATAGACTGGAAGAGTTCTCCATGAACAAATGCTCCAAATTAGGTCTCATTAGAATGAACTGTCATTTTATGTAACATACCCTCGGAACGTGTCTAATGATTTAAGACGAGATGATTTTGGCCGGTTTTGGTCCACGCAGGCCTCAGTAATTGCCTCCTCCTGCATGAAACGAAAAGCATCAAAGCATACAATGCATCTAGAAAGTCTTGACATATTTTTGGAATATTCAGATTATATGCTGAGGAATATACTGATGATACTGGAAACTGATAGGCTATATGTAATGTCCTTCTAAAATGCCTGTGTACTGGCTGAATACATTTGGGGAGTATGAACAGTTTCTCTCATTTCCCAGGGAAGAGGTTGTCATTTCCCATATGGCCTTGTGCTGGCAGAGAGATCCATCACAGAGGAATTAGCACAAACCTCTTCCTGCTCTGGCTCTTCCAACCCCTAAATGTAGTGCTACAGACCAGGCTAATCAAACTAGGAATTTTAGACCAGGCAAATCAAACTACAACTCACTCTAGGTTGAACAGACAAAAAGCTGATAAACAAACAAGCAAAAAATAACTGATCTGCATTTGAAATGTTTTCAAAACAAACATCTGGCTGTAGCTTGGTAACAAGTGCTCATTTATTGATAACATAAGAATTAACACTTAATCACACTGGGCTTAAAGGTTGTATAATGGTTGTATAGTTATACAGTTATTGCATATCGTATAGAAGACTTTATTGTATTCTGTATATCTGTATTTGTTGTATTTATTGTCTGTCTGCTCTGCTGTTCTATGTCAAATATGGCACAGTGTCCTGGAGAAACTACATTTAACCATCACCAAACTTACCCTTTCCATGGAGTATTGAGATCTATTGCAGCACATATAATTCCTGAGTTTGGACATGCAGCTACATCTATAAGGAATAAAAGAAATTGTTTCATACAACCACACAATGCTAAGTAAACTGAAAATATCAGAATCTTCTGATTAATACTTATAGCTAGACCCGTACATTGTCACTGATGCATTACTTTAGCAAACCATCATTATCTGTGGAAGACCATCAGCATCTACATCACACACTCCTGTGCTCTGAGAGCTAATGTTTGTATGAATAATTCAATAAAACCATTGCAAAGTAATCAGAGGCATTATTCGAACTCTGTTCACAGTTATCAAGCAGCTGTGCTAGAAAATAATAGGCTGCTGTGAGAGCTTGTTGATTTAAACCAAGAACAACAGCTGTTTTTTCAAATCAATCACTCAATTCTCTTTATTGAATTGCATTATGTTTGTATGGAATTGTAGTATGAAGCTAAAATTTTATATCTCTTTTATTAGTTGAGTTATATTTCCCTATAACAGCAACAGCAACAGATTAGGAACAATTCAAGCTCATCATGACAATGAAAATATGAAAATATGTGCAAATATCTGTGTTTTGAATAATCCTGTTATGACAAAAAATGTGGTGACAAAGTAAAACCAGAAGAGTCGAGAGTGAGCAGACCAAAAAGAGGCCACATCATTACCTGAGGAGAAGAGGCACACAGACCCAGAGAAAAGCCAACAGGGCTAAAACCAGGGCAGCCACCAGCAGCGCTGAGAAAAGGAATACCAGTATTGAATGTTTCAGTTGCAACAAGTACTGCAGTATTTCATAACATCAGCCTATGTTTAAGACTTTGTTCATGGTCAGACCTCAGGACTTCACAGAGTTTTGGAAAACTATGTTATTTTAAAAACTATGTTTTCCCATTCTTACTTCTAATAGTCTACAAGTTGAACTTGTCACCTCTGAATATTACAGATTCCATTATTGATCATCACCAGGTTTCATTCTGATAAATACACTATATGTAAAAATAAATAACAGGACACATGGATTTGCACCATATTTTGAACATAAAAATATGGATTGGAATTGGATTGGATTGGATAATTGGAATTGCACATGTCTACACTTTCATGAAATTTGCAGTAGCTCCTTCACATGATGTTGGCCATAGTGGCATATTCTGGATTTTAATAGTTAGATGCCCTGGCTGCTGGTACACACAGAAAAATACACTATCATCCATACACAAATGCAAAAACACAACTCTCTCAGTTGGGATTTAAAGAAGCATGTATTCTGCAGTCAAGCCATTTACACTGAAGGTTAGACAGGCTCAGTGCATTTTTTGTTAACATTCTTGTTCTTACCTCAAACCACTCAGACATATAAATGCTAATTCAATACTAACTTATTTTCCAGCTACAGAGAGCACATTGAATGCTGGCTAGATCCCTCCAACCTGTCTTCATGCATTACATAAAGCATATAGCATAAAGTCTACATCCATTTTCTTAGCTTTTCTTTTATCATGGGGCCAAAGCAGAAACCCCATCACTCTGTTTCACGGGGGAGTTCTCGAGAGCCCAACACTTCCTCTTCACAAAACCTGAAACCAGCTTGTCAGAGTAAAATCAATTTATGCAACCCAAACCTGGATCACCAATAACACAATGCACAGAGGCCTGTTTTCACAGTATATGATGGAACACATGACATGGGCTGCGAGGAGGCATCATCCATGATAAAGGTTCCAGAGGGAAAGACGCAATACTGGCAACCACCAAAGGTACAAGGGGAGGGGTTTGTGTGGAAAAACAAACATGGAAATGGCCTTTTAATCAACGCGCAAAGACACACCATGACACTTTCTGTCCCACTATAAACTCTGTAGCGATGACTGAGCTAAAGAACTACAGTGCCATGTCCTTGAAATTAATCAACACAAACTACATGTGTAAACCGTGACTTCTCCAGATGATCTGCGGTAAAATAGAATTGATCTTCACAGCCGAGAAAATATCTTGAGGACATCCTTGCACATTAACAAAAATCCCAGAGACATCATTTTGTTAAGTTCCCTCGAAAGACCCATTAAGACTGTTTTGTGATTTTCACCTAATATCCTAATATAGTCCCTGGGAAGTATAACAACCAAAAGAAGTCTAAAGAAAGTCCTCCTAATGTTCCCTTTAATGCCCTGAATACATTAAGCTTATCTATTTATACTTTAGCAAGTTAAACTAATGTATTGATTCTAAAGTGTAAGTTAATTACACTTAATGTTCAGTGAATGCATCTCAGTGCTCAGAGGCAGCTAATGCTAGCAGGACTTAGATGGAAGCTAACCTTCTCTTAACAATACTGGGACAAGTGTTTACTTGCAATATTTAATCTTGCAGGATTTTAGAGCAGAGAAATCACAGCCAGATGTAGTTTGCTGCTATGCATACAAAATGTTCTGCTCACTAACTCAATCCATCTGAAAAACATACAGTCTGCAGATACATATGCAGTGAGTTTGGCATCCCAGGTCAGTCCAGACCTGATATTGAATATGCAACGGTCAGCTTCTCCTTGCCTGCAGCCTGCTGATCATCAGCCCCATTACTTAAGTTGTGAAAGCTCACTGGAGCCTGCATATAATCACTGGACAGTGCAGCTAATGGAAGCTCATCATGCAGCCCACAGTTTAGTCACACTGGCCATATATCTCACAGATAATGGTTACTTGCCCTTAAAAGTCTGATCTACAACATAATCTGCACAATTGTAAAGTAGACTCTACATTATGGAGCACGCCGCTTTCAGAATCCCATTATGCTTTAATCCTCCATGCTCCTCTAATGTATTTCCCACAATGCACCCCTCATGGGGCGTCTTCCAAAACAAACATGGCAGAAAAGCTTTTCTTTGTACTGTTTTTGAAGAAAGGGCCAGCTTATTGAATCAATACCCCACGTATCCGGCCCCTGGGACACAAGAGAAGCACTTCACTATAGAAGTTCAGATCACAAGACATGTTTCCTTTTTTGCTGACTCAATTAAGGATTAGAGGGATCAAAAGGGATCCTTGGTTTGAATCATATAGATTAGTGGGTAAAAGTCCTACATGCTCCAAAAGTGACACTGTAAGTTTATATTATTACCTGTAATGATGTACAAATACACATACGTTAAGCCAAAACACTCTAAGGCAAAGAAGAGATTAACACTGCAATGAACAGACATTAACTCGTAATGTAAGATGCACTTATCAGTCTCCACAGACATCTGAATAATTGACAAATTGATTAAGTAATGTAAACAGCTTGTACTTACGTAGATAGGTATCATTTGGAGACTTGTCCACTGAGACAAAGCAGGTCACATTAAATTCCAGGTTTGTATCTCCAGGCCTCACCCAAAGAGAATAATGCCCTGCCTCTTCAAAGGAGTAGCTTAAACTGGGATGACAGAACAAACATAACATACCAATGAACCTGAGAATAATTATTGTATTTTAAATTTAAAATGCATTGGGATGGACTTATACATTGACATATTGCAGGTGATAAATGGTCACACACATTCTGATCACATAGTAGGGGTGTAACATTTGTCAGTATGTGTTGTATAACAATTTTTAAAACATAAAATCTAACTGTACTCATTTCTTAATGTGTATTGTCTTACAACACCCCACTAAAAAAGATAGTAATACATGTATCATAACATCGATATTACATAGTAATTACTATTCCCAAACTCATTTGCTAACTGTGCACCCCATGGACTGCTGCCCCACCATACATATCTCTATATGGCAAATAAGCAAAGCTTGATAACTCTAGTCTTTTTCTTGGATGTTATTTACTGTTCAAGTCAAAGTACAGTGTACAGGAGGCTTGAGGGAGCCATCTAGAGCACAACAGGTAGAACTACAGTTCTCAACCACATTCTACCATCTCCTGTTTCATCCCCAAAATGTGCTACAAGCCTTTATTGATTGGCCAGGGAATGACATACCAGCCGGCATGTTCACTGGGGGAGGAGGGTAGATCAATAACAGCTCCGTCTGGAAAGGGACCTCACTATTGATCTTTAAGGAGCCCAAGCCTATACCCTAGCCTGGGGGCAGTGGGGGGGAGAAGACACAGCACCTTGTCTTACGCAACCAGATACCCCACCACCCATTTAATAATGACCCCAAATGGAATGCCTCAGTCCTGATGACTCTTAGGCCCAGTTTGCTTATAAATATGTCTACTGACTCTTCGTGTTTAACACGTCTGAGGATTCTAAGGACACTTGCAGCTTTGAAGTCTTAATGGCTCTTTTCTTTATTATTGGAGTGTCAGCTCCTATTAACCCCAAAAGGCAGCAAGATCAATAGCGAGTGAGATATCCTCCAAAGGCCAGCACTCAGGACCTAAAAGTCAGGTCACACGCTGACACAGTTCGCAGGATGTAGTTTGAAAGATTGCAAATGGAATCTTCAGCTATAAAGGCTGTATATTTAGTCTATGTCAAGGTCCTTTACGTCACACAAATGGAATGAGCCTGTCTTAAACAGTGATTTATAAGACTGGATGTTAACACAATCTGCCTAAATGGAAAAACGGATTTTGCACCCAAGAACAAAAAGTGTGTGATTTTTAAGTGGGGTGCTCTAGTGCATTTCAAATCAGTTCAAGAGTAACAAAAATAGAAGCAAGTCTGACCTGGCAGCTGTAGTGTGAGTTTAAGCCTTACCTGCACAAAGTGCTACTGCCATTCACAGAAGTGACTTTCAGAGTCAGAGTGAAAGGAGTGCTCACCACTACAGACACATTTCCTGGTCCAGCCTCCATGCTGGCCAAAGGCTGATACAGACACTGCAGAGATTATGTGTCCATCATTTTGACAATATGCAGACATGTAATTCTCCCCTCTAGAATTATTGGCATGCTTGTTAAAGATGGCCAGAAAAAGGCCATGGAAAAATGCCTTTTTTCATCAGACTGATTGTGCACTGTATTTTTGAGAAAATTGCTTTTTATAAGACATTTTCCCCATAGAATAATTTTCAATGCTTTTCAAAATAAAATCAAGTTGATACACAGTAGAAACATTTTTCATAGCCTTTTTACACATTTTTTAATTCACTATGTCATCTATTAACTGAAAAACATTGAATATAGCAAATACACTGATTATACTTTTTTTAAAACCATAAACTCCTTTAATAAGCAATTATATATAGTTAGTGAATATAACTGAAAAGGCTGAGGTTATTGCAGTAATAGATTATAATAGAATAATAGATTTCCAGAATACCTTGTAACAGTAATCTGAAGTGTAGAGAACATGCAAGCCATAGGACATCTGATTTTGGACTGTTAATAATGCTTCATCCATTTTTAGCATGACTTCTGAAAGATAAAGAAAGATATATTGATATATCTAAAAACCTGAATTTCCATTATCTTGATACAGTTGCTCTATGAATAAAACATATTTAACAACACAACAAGCAACCAGTTCTATTAAGAATTAGATTTACTTTGTAACTACTGGATTTGATTAATAATTGAAACGAATCTTGGGCATGAAACATCTGTCATCATTATTATGACTAATATAAAGTGCCTAGGTGCAATTACTCATATTTCAAATCATCACTGAGATCACAGAACTGGGGCAATCAATTGTAATTCACATTTACTTCTTCAGGAACAATCAAGATAAAAGATGCCAGCAAGACTCTCATGAAGCAAAGCTCACAGCCTAGCCACAACTACAAGTGATCAACACTGACATCTGGAGGACAAACATGGCTCCTAAAGCCATTGTTTTCTGCATCTTTTCTTTAAAGGAGTCTAGAAGAAGTTCCTAGTGCATAGTTAATAATGATTAGTATCATACTGGATTTTGAAGCTTGAACACTCAAAATCATGAGCAACTGTACTGAAAATGAACTGTTTCAGTCATACAAGCCAGTACATAAAGCATAAGCCTACACATCCAATGAAAAATAATGTCACAGCACTTATTTGGGGGCTGCTAACACTAATGCTACTAGCACTTGTAGTAAGTTCTGAGCTACCTGAATCCGAGGCTGTTGCACACTGTCCTGTTGTGAGAATAAGAAACCAGAAAATACGTCTTAGGCTGTAGAGCTCCATGGTCGGTCGGAAGTGTGCTCCTCTGCTGCTGGGGTTTATTGGTACAAATGGATATAAACCGGGTTCAAAGAGCACAGGTAGGTACGCTAGATTAACTGGGGCCGCTAAGATACCCTTTCATTAATTCCTGATTGGAACTTTATTTATAGAGCCCTTTTCATACAGATTTACATATACTTTACAGACAAGTGATAAAGTTCAGCAAAGTTTAATAAATAAATGTTAATTAATTATGAATTACAATAAACTGAAATGATAACAGGTAGAATTTCAAATAAGAGGTAAATTAAAGAGATACTTTTTCAAAAATTTCTTAAAAGTGGGTACCAAGCTTGACTGTCTAATAAAAAGTGGAATTCCACAGTTTATAAGCACAAAAACTCCACATCTTCTCCCTCAGATATTTACAGGCCAATACTTGCTAAGATCACATGCATTTCACCTAACAGGCATAATTTAGTATGTGACTCCAACTGGGCATACAGAACTGAGCAAAAGTCAGAGACCACTCTTCATTTATTTATGATCAAGTCAAAACGGCTATTCTGTCCATCTGTCCACCGTGAAAAGCCAACTCAACACTGTCGGTCTAAAAGGAGGTGTAACTGTCAAGAAGCTGTTATTGAGGAAACAAAATAGACAAAAAAGTCTAAACAAAAGTCAAAAAGAACACACAAACAAGCTGCTTTTTTCCAAACAATGGACTGACCACTCCCAGAGTTCAGACCTGAACAAATTTCTTTGAAAAGATGAAAACAATTCCAAACAGAAGGGAAGCTGTAAAGGCAAAAGAAAAACACACTAAATATGGAAAAAATATTCTATTTAGTTGTTGAAGCTTTTGTGTGAATTTCTAGATTTTTCTGCTTTTATCCTGATGCGGAAGAATGGATAATTTAATGGTCATTTTGACTGGAAATAAAAAAAAAAAAAGAAGGGTGGTCTCTAATTTTTGCACAGTACTGCACCTCCATGCTGTTGTCTTTTCTGTTGAGCTTCCTTACATAAGTAAGTTCCTTACATGAGTAAGTGTTGATTTAAATTATATTATAACAAAGTGCAACAGTTTTCTCACCACGTATTATCACTATTCATACAAAAAAAACTGAAGGTATAAAGTTTCCAAAGAATATATATGCTTGGAGATCAACCTTCTACAGCTTTCTTGTGGGGAAAAATGGATGAAGCTATCCTGATGAACTCTATGCCAACAAACAGTAAGTTTGCCCAATCTTCATGAAACCTATGCTACTGCACAATGAGTTTACTCAATCCTGATGAGTCCTATGCCAGTATACAGTGAGTTCACCTAAGTAAAAGGGCAAGAGGGTGTCTTTTCGCCTCATTCACTCTGTCCTGCTTAATCGCTGTTGCTCTTGGCTGATGAATTGGTTTTAAAGAATGCTCTTACTATGATTGCTTTAAATTCACAGGGTGCTAATTTTAATCCCTCAGCCTAAGAACGAATCGACCTTGAAAACCTTGGGATCAGCTTTGAGGGTGTAGATCTTTTGTCACACAAGTAGTGCAATCTGAAGTAGATTAAGCCCCTTGCGCTTGGAATATCTTGCTAATTTCCATTTCTCTGTGTTGTTGGTCTATTTGTATAGAGGCCTTTGAAATGCCTTGTGCTGACAGATTACAAATTAGCTAAAGTCTTATGTCAGCCGCACCAGCATGCCACTGTTTGTTCTAGCCGTATTTTTGTTCAGGCTTCTGCTGGGGCACCTATTGTACCTTGGGCCTTAGGATGAATTCCAGCTGCTGACTCTGCCACTTTGATTCAGAATCAGAAGAGGAGAGAGGCTGGAGCAGAGCACCACAACATGGTAGGACTGCTGAGCCTCACTGATTTTATGATTCTAGAGCACTGATCTGATGATAAGATAGGCATGCCTCATCTGCTGTTTGTCACACTGCATACTGTGTGTCTCACCTGTTGCTGTTGTTACTCTGTAAAGCTGTATGTATGCAAAAATGAATTAATTCTTAGTAGACTAGAGTTTTTAAATGACATCTAGCAATGGACATTTACCTAAAGCTAAGCCAAAGGTTATGTTAGGCTGACTGCTTCATTGTGCAATGCAGAGATTGCATCTAATGCTGGTTCCTATTTTGAAATAATTCAAGTGATCTAGCTTAACAATATTGCCTCATGCATTAAGCAACATTTGCTGTAATGTTGAGATGTTTATGTGCTTGATTTTTTCTAGGAGTCCAACATGTCAAATCTGTTTCTTCCATGCTGTTGTCTTTTGTGTTAGGCTCCTAAAGCCTTCTGCTTTAGTAGGCAGAGGGCAGATTAGACTGTTGCTAGGAGACCTGTTGATGTCAGCCAGCCTTATCAGTCTGGTAGCTTCATTGAGACTGTTTGAGACATCTGTTTGCTGTATGGCGCAACACTCTGATGGTACACATTGAGATAAAAGAGGTGATAATAGATTTAAGTTAGGGTTGAAATGTCCGTCTACAGAATTATATGGAAAAATATAATTGATCTGTATATACTTTTAATGTAAAACATGTGATGTTTTAACTTAATTTAAGAAACCACGTTAACAGGGCTTATTTGCTGTCTTATCCTTGTGTGAACCTACAGGTTAAAGCTTCTTGGTTTAGTCATTAAAAACATAAACATAACATTAGCCAATTAAAATAAATAAATACTTTTGCATTTTTTTTTTTTATTGTTGACACCATTCTACATCGGTGATGTTTTCATTTTTCATGATGTGAAATCATTTCCACTTTTAAACCTTTTTTTATAATTTGCAAACAAATCTAATTTCAAGGCCCTTGCAAGTAGGATTAAGTGTGAAACTCATGTGATCTCATGGAATTCACTGGTCTGTTCAAAGGGGAAGGTTTAAATAACTTGTGTGTGACCCACACAAAAACATGGTGAAGTCTCTTAAAACTGAGAATGCAAGTCATCATTGCTTCCAGATGGGGTTCACAACAACCAATCACAGTCCTTATTTCTGAAACGTCCCCCTACAGAGTGGTTGTGTAGAGATACAGTGCTGTTTAAGTTCACAAATGAGTTATATAAAGTGTGTATAATGTCATGCACATAATTATCATATTGTATAGTAATATCATACACAAAGCCTGTCATTAAGATAACATACATAATGAAATTTTCTATCCTTATTTTTTGTATTCAGCCTCTTGTGAAATTGACTTACCTTATTCTATTCATGTTAATTAGTAGACTTCTGTAAAATATGCTTTCTTAACAAATTTGGATCGTTGGTAAACTTTTCCTTAGAACATCCTCATTTACACCAATCAGGCATAACATTATGACCACCTCCTTGTTTCTATGCTCATTGTCCATTTTATCAGATCCACTTACTATATAGGTGCACTTTGTAATTCTACAATTACAGACTGTAGTCCATCTGTTTCTCTGCATACTTGTTAGCCCCCTTTTACCCTATTCTTCAGTGGTCAGGACCCCCAGGGACTCTCACAGAACAGGTATTATTTGGGTGGTGGATCATTTTCACCACTGCAGTAACACTGACGTGGTGGTGGTGTGTTAGTGTGTGTTGTGCTGGTCTGAGTAGATCAGACACAGTAGTGCTGCTGGAGTTTTTAAACACCTCAGTGTCACTGCTGGACTGAGAATAGTCCACCAACCAAAAATATCCAACCAACAGCGTCCTGTGACCACTAATGAAGGACTAGAGGATGACCAACACAAACCATGCAGCAGCAGATGAGCTATCATCTCTGACTTTACATCTACAAGGTGGACTGACAAGGTATGAGTGTCTAATAGAGTGGACAGTGAGTGGACACAATGTTTAAAAACTAAGAATGATTCAACACCCAAATAGTACCTGCTCTGTGAGGGTCCATGGGGGTCCTGACCACTGAAGAACAGGGTAAAAGGGGGCTAACAAAGTATGCAGAGAAACAGATGGACTACAGTCTGTAATTGTAGAACTACAAAAAGTGCACCTATATAGTAGGTGGATCTGATAAAATGGACAATGAGCGTAGAAACAGGGAGATGGTCATAATGTTATGCCTGATCGGTGTATAGGGATGCCTTACTTATATTGTCAGTTATTTCTGATATACTTTATCTGCCAGTTGCTCTCTGTACATTATGCACCCTCTGCTCCAGAATGGACTGTAATATACAGTACAGCACTGTGTTTAAGAAACTGACTACAGAGGAGCTGTAACCTTTTGTCTGTTGTAACTTCACAGGCAGGTAAGATTCAGGCTCTGACTCTGGAGGAGAGAGAGCAGCTCCTCCCAATGCTGCGCAACGCACAGTGGGTGGAAGTGGTGGGTAGAGATGCCATCTATAAGGAGTTTATCTTCAAAGACTTTAACCAGGTGAATAAACTACTTCTAACGCTTAATTTCTTGCATTAAATGCAACATATGTGCTGTATGTAAAACACCTGCAAAATCCACCTATTTATTTATTTATTGATTAATTACATGAATGACGTTTTGTCTCCTAGGCCTTTGGATTCATGTCTAGAGTAGCACTACAGGCTGAAAAAATGGATCATCACCCTGAGTGGTTCAATGTTTACAATAAGGTACATAACTTTGTTAATTATATAGCATCTTTCATATGTAACCACGCAGCTCCAAGTGCTTCGTTTGTTTAAATAAAACTGTAAAACTGCACATGAAATGGTACATGGCAAAATCACATGCTTTAATAATATGAGCCTTGAAAAGAAAAATGGGTTTAAGTATACTTTTCACATGTGCAATATATTTTTATATATTAAATGCATATAGTATTTTTATACTATTTTGAGTGTTTTTTTTTTTTCAAACAACTTAAGCTGCACTTCAGTAGATAAGTAGATTTAAGAATGTAATTTATAGGAATAACTTATTAAACTCACATATTTAAAATACACTACTGGATGTACTGATACATTTCTGTGCTACTTATTGAGTTGTACTGCAGTTAAAGTGCACTTAAATGAATGTTTAAATTTAATGAAACAAATAAAACATTTAAGTCTATTTTTATAAAACATAATTAGTATACATTTGTATGAGCCTAAATTCGATTTAAGTAATGTTAAAATACGTCTAATATGCCTACAAGTGCTTTTCTGTTCTAAACTGGAACAAATTGTGCTGCAGTGAGATTAACTTGAGCTTCAGCAACAAACAACAAATTTTGCTTCTCTTGAAAGGTATTTTAAATGTATAATCTTTGGTGTACCAATACTCATATTTGATAGCTAGTTAGTTTGTGGTTTTATTGCAACAAAAATGCCACTATAATGTATTAAAGCATACTTTAAATGTCATTGATTTAAAATATACTTCTAAACAGTACACTCAGGTTGATTACAATTAGATATGCTTTTGTTTAAGTATGCTTCAGTATGTTAAGAAATACTTTTATTCAAGTCTATTGCCTCACAGCATAAAGTATCATTGAAAATGTTACTTTAATAATAATATATTAATATATAATAATACAATGTAATAATTTAAAAATATACTTCATGAAAAATACATTTATAATATTGTGTGAAGTGCATAAAATGAAATGCATTCATGTACTTTCATTTTTTCTATATACTTCAAATATACTATTGACGTACTTTAGTATGCTTCTCTTTTCATGTCTTACATACTCATGCTTATGTGTCGAAGAGCGAGCCCGTAACAGTCCTCTCTGTGGGTGTTCTCTCTGTCAGGTCCAGATTACTCTGAGCACACATGATTGTGGAGGGCTCTCCCAGCGTGACATCACTCTCGCCACTTTCATTGACCAGGCCTCCATTCTCTGAGGCAGATCCTCCTCATGCATCTTGCCTGTCAGATTGCGTGACCAGTCTTCACTGGTCACAACACTCAAACTAATGTGTTAAAAGTATTCCCTGTCTGGGGTGTCCAGACACAGACTAAGCCCAAACTTGGAGTAAGTAGCATTGATTTCCCACTGAAAATTGCCTGTTACAGTCATAGACAGTCACTAGCAGGAATGAAAACCTGTAAAATCATCCCACAGCTGTAAGAAAGTATCTGCACAATCACAGATTTCTAGTTAAATACAGAAACACTAAACTGTTTTCTAGCCCTTAGTCAGGTATCCTCTCTTTCCTTAAAAGTATTGTGCCTTTATTTTCTATTTGGTGTACATAGAGCTGTGTATTGTTGTTATATTTTCTCAACTCTCAACACTTGACTGTGACAGCAAAGTGAAACACTGAAAAATAAAGTGGATAAAGTTTGAAATTGGGTGCATTATTTTAAAACGAAGCTCAGATGGTAAATGTGTATCTTAGAGCGAATCAGGCACATGTGACCAAAAGGCATTGAAATGCTAATAGTTTGAAATCTGTTGGGAGACATGAACTGTAACACGTATGCTGCTGAGAGGCTTCTGTGGAAAAAATATATTTCATGCTCACATCTTAAACCTATTTAGATACTGCATTACCACATATCTCCATTAGCTGTTCACCATTAGTGAATGCCTTCCAAAAGGTACAACATTATTGTAAGGATATAATGTGGAGCTTTCACTTCCAAACAGTATGACTAACAGGAACAAAGCAGAAGCACTTTGATTTTTCAGACTTTAATGATTTTTACAGGAACAGTGGAATACAGGGTAGTGTTGGAAGTGGATTGTATGATGTGGTAAAGGCCCTCTCCCTGAGGCTGTATAGTCACTGCATGAGCCCGAGAGCCTGGAAAAGGCATGAAGGTGAACACTGTTGTTCATGAATTTTAGAAAACTATAACCATGAAGGTCATGGGTTCTCCAGAGATTTCAGAAATCAAGGTGCCTCATATTTAGGTAGTCATTCAGTATTGACAGACATGTAGTCTTGGGAAATTATTACGCTTCTCTGGAGGCAAAGGGACAATCGCTTTAAAAATAAAATCTTGTATATGAAAATAAAATTCCAAAACATTCCTGCTATGATAAGAAGTGGTACTTTTCCACATCAATAGCTTAACCTAAGGCAAACATTCAATATTATGATGCTACTTTAGTGGTATCGTGCTACGAATGGTGTCCCCAAGTGTCCAACACATACAGTTTCATGCCCACACAGTTATAGCCCTGTAATAACATTTAAAAAACACAAGAATGTTAAAAATTATAATTACATTATTGAAATATGAGACACTACATTAATGATGTGTAATGTAAAAACGCACACAGTGGTCAGAGACATTATGAATGCCTAAGAAATTAAACAGCCGATGAGGTTTGCAGTCATGATTAAATGGTACCGTGTCATCACGTCATTATCTCATCATCTCCCTGTTCATCCAAGAACTGCTTTCCCTTCTTCAGGAACATTAGGCAAGGCATTTACCTGTTGCTTAACCATCTTCCTGGACTAAGAATTTGCAAAATAAACAAACATTTTTGAAACACTTTAGTAGAACAATCTGTTGTCTCCTCTGCAAAGAACTCCCAAGTATTACTATTTTGTGTAAGGCCAAGAGAGAAACTGGTCATTATATCCAATCACTGATCCACGGGAGGAAGACACTCAGTCCAACAACTAAGAGGGAAAAAAAGAAGAAGCCCTCAAAGTTTAAAATGTAGAATCGTTGGAACAACATCTGAGGTAGACAGGAAGGAAACAGTGATTGTTTCAGTCAACTATTTAGAACTCAGTAATTTCAGTTCAGGCAAATTTAGATGAAGAATCTGGTGGCTATTTAAAAAAAAAAAAGTTGTAAGATCTTGTAAGATTGTTAGTTTTCTAGTATATGTAAGAATGCCATTCTCTTCTATTTATTCAGAGAGGATTATTTTTAGCCTATTGCAATCTCTGTGGGTAAAAAATATATATTTTAATACAGGTTCACCTGAGCAGTGCTATGATACTAGCAATTTTTGTGCTTTTCAAGTTTCATTAGACAATGGTATAATGCTGGAAATATTTAGTAAAAGAAGCTATACTATGCTGCTTGGTCCATTATAATGTTAAATTAACATTAATGAAAATGTACAAACAGTTATTTGATTATGATCAGTATCAGAACACAGTTCCAAAATGGACTCTGGGTTCTCACTTTAAAAGATTTTTAAAAAGACTTTTTTTTGCATGAAGCCACTGTGATGACAGTACCTTGAAAAAAGAAGTGAAACGTTTTGAGGGAGTCTGCCGAACTCAGGCCCAGCAGGACATTAGTTTGTAATTAAGAGTAAAATGTTTAATTCTCAATAAAATGCTCCCTCAATGATAACCTGAGAGTTAGTTTGGAGCTGTTGTTTCCAACTGGACGGTAAGAGTAATATGAACTACAAAAGGAGAACCGTTAGTAAACTGATACCACAAATATTAAAAAGACATAAACACACTTCACCCAACTAACAGAGGAAGATGTCCCTGAACCTTCTGTACTGACGCTGATACCATGGTACCTACAGTAAATCATCAAACTCCAGGACAGCCAAAATGCCCAAACTGCATGGAGAACTATGGCTTGTGCTCGGATGAAATATGAGTAAATGGGTGACTGAAATGTGGGACAGAAAAGTTAGTGAATAACTGGAGACAAATGTGATGAGGGACCCACTGGCAAGCTGCAGGCAGATACCCTAGCAGCCAATCCAGACTCAGTGCGTTTTGGAGCTCCCATTCATGTGGTTCTTCTTGCTGGTGTGGTGGTTGTTCTGGACCTTGGAGACTTCAGTGCTGTAGAGGCAGTCCAGGAAACCGCATGATATCTCCGTCACCATTGACCGGTCAGGGATGGATTGTGCCATGCCATAGATTGCTCCCTAAATACAGGTTTCAATCGCCGGTCAATGAACATGCAAGAACATGCCAACTCTACTTGAAGATGTATTTCTAAAATAAGTCAGTGAAATGAAACACAAACCAATTAAGCAAACAGACTTTAGTCCAGATGGGTGAACATCAGACTTCAGTGAGTCAATGCCCTGTAATTCTTAGGGTAAGTAACATCACAGAGTTTTTCTTTCAGATGGAGGTCAGATTGAGACATTTTACTGGGTTCTCAGGAGCTGAGGCAGCTGTAATTCATGTGACTCACCACAGAGCTGCTTTATGAGTCATCCGTAAAGATGAGAACTTTTATGAGCAACATCACAAGCTAAAGAACGCATCCCAGGACATCTGCCGTCCCGCACCAGGTTCTACATGTGGATCTTTATGTGGATAAGTTATTTTTTACTTCAAAGCCAGTCATACAAAACCAGACTCCCTAGATCCAAGTATTTAAATCTAAAAAAAGCTTTTTGTTAGAAAAAAGACTCACCATCCCAGTGGTCTTCTCCTGTGGATTCCTCATGATAATGGCTACTTCTTCTTTCACATCATTGATAAAATGCTCAGCCACACCAGGCTTTGTGTGCAGCATAGTTACACAAATATGGATGCTGTGAAGGAACAAACAGAACTAATGGCCCCCATAGACAAGCAGTTCTTGATGGTCGCACTGATGACAATGCTATTTCAAAAGGTTATCACCTGCTTCAAACACAACTCCCAACCAAATAAACACTGTTCACTTAACCTAATGCATTTAAAACCATTTAAGTTTTGTACTGGTCAATATTAATGAGAAGTTCAGCAGTTTCCTTTGCATTACAAGCCAGTCTTAACTGTAAATATTTTAGGTGTGATCAACTGTGGAAAAAGAGCTTTTTGTTCTTACCTAGAGGGGAACTGAAGAGTGTTGAGGTTCCAGCCCTTTGATGTGAGTGCATTGGATAAACGGAAGATATCAAAGACATTGGAGCCTATGGCCACCACTGACACCTCAGGGTTACCAAACACAAACACTCCTTCTATTTTACGGACTCTATGGGGGGAAACAACAGTGTAAATTTGTTGCATTCTCAAATTCAGAGCATTTGCCACAGTAGTTTCAGCCATCCATCATTCTAAATGAGTTATGTCACACCAATAAGACGTTTCTGGTATTCTCTGTACTCTACACTACAAAAGATAAACATTTAACAGAATTTAGCTCTTATAGAGAAAAGTTTGTCTTACCCTGCTGCAATGGTGCGAGCAGTCTGAACAACCTTCCTGGTGGCATCAACATAGCCATTCTCTCCCATGTGCATCATGGTGGCCCAGCAAGCGGCGATGATGCCACCGGGCCGAGAACCAGCCATCGAGGGAGATGCATAAATCCCCCCCTGCCAATCAGGTGCCACAAAGTACTGGTAGTGGCGATACTTCTTATCCCTGTAGAGCACCACTGAGGAGCCTTTTGGAGCATAGCCATACTGCGAAGACAACAACAAACCTTTAGTGGTTCCCAGCCCCCATCCTCAGGGCCTGCTAGACGGTCCACATTTTTCATTCTTATGTGTTGCGAGTTGGGTTGGAGCAAAAATGGCGACTGTCTGAGTAGTAGAGCAGGCAGAATAAATTTATGATTTAGCCAGTGAAAAACTAGGCAAACCAAAGTTGTTAGATACAGTTTCCAAATGCGCTGTCATGCATTGTCATAACCTATGTCCTGCAGTGCCAATAAGCTACAGCCTATTCCAGAAAGCAGTGCAGTCGTCACACTACTTATTCCAACGCTTCCGCCCTATAGTGATACAAAACAATAGCAAGATTGTGTACACATCAACCAAAATTCACATAAACATACTTCACTATAAAGCAGAATAAAGCATTAGTCTGCTCTTGCACAGGCATGACTTTTGACCGGTGGAGACAACATAATTGAGTCAAAAATCAAATCACACAGCCATCTGTACGTCCTTATTAGGTGGTGACATGTCTCTAATGTCGCCCTTAAATTTGTTTCTTGTGGGTGTGCTCAAGGCTGCTCTTCTTGTCGCGTGTGGGCATGTACACTGTCGAGCTTCTGACAAGAAAATGTAAAAATATATATGCATTGTCGTTTTGTTTAAAATATGAAATGCGGTTACAAGTTTACAAGTTTCTAAGTTTCTCTGCCATATTTTGAGTGATACTACTGGGAACAGGAACGAAATGCTGGTAGAAACAAAGTTCAGAGAGCAGTGGCCGGGGGCCTCGGACCCCCATGTCTACGATTGGTCTGAGGATTCTATTTGTGCTAATCAGGTAGACTGTTGCTTCACTGCGTCATAGTTCATTTTCATAAAGTTGAGAAAATTTGAAATTTTCACTCTGTTGCCGTGTTGCTTGCCACTAGTTGCTAAATCGCGGCTACAAATCACGTATCTGGATGGTTGGAAAATGGCATGCTCTACAATCTGTCAGAGACAAGATCTCATATTCAAACACTTGTGCGCAGATAAAGAACACATGGCTTGTGGGAATGGTGTATAGCATTGGTTGCTAAGCAGTGACTGTAGGGCTGAGAAAATAATGCAGAGCTTGACAGAGAGAGTAATGATTTGATTGGCCATAACACAGTGACAGCACTCACAATAAATATTCTGTCAATATTGGATTGGGTAGGCTGGTGATCAATCTGGGTAGGCCCTATCCATGACTACACCAATAAATGATGCAGCCCTGGAGACTGGTTTGGGAACGACTGTTGTAGAGAAAACCCTGCTAACATTAAGTAGATTCTAAAAAACATTTTGTTTCATATGAGCTGCATTTATTTTGATCATTAATAGGCTGACTAAGGTCTAAAAACATTCTGTAACTTTTTAACCTGCATCTACATATCATCGTCTAATCCTCAAAATCAGAGCAGCAGACACCGTATTACTTCTAAGTTTGAAGTAAGAAGAACATTTTCCATCTCTCACCTTGTGCGTGTCTGCGGAAATGCTGGTCACGCTCTTGATCCGGAAGTCAAATGGCTCAAGTTTGAATCCAGCCTTTTCCATAAACACTATGAGGAACCCACCCAAGCACGCATCCACATGGAAAGGGATGTTGTATTTTTCTGCCAACTAAAAATAAAACAGTATTTATAATATACATATTTACAAACACATTCGAAGCATTAACTTATTCTAAAATCTGATGGAGAGCTTCTCTTGTTGCGAATATGAATCAAGACGCCTTTACCTTCCCCACTTCTACAATGGGATCTATGATTCCATGAGGGAACTGAGGAGCAGAACACACCAGCATGGCTGTGTTCTTAGAGATGGCTCTCTTCATTGCCTAGAAGGAAATTAAGGAGATGATAACTATCTTGTTTACAATATCTAAAAAAGGTGTCTGTTTATCATGTGCACTCTTAGAACATGTTACCTTCACATCAACTTTCATGGTCTTCTTATCCAAAGGTACATGAATGAGTTTCATTCCAAAATAATGTGCTGCTTTGTCAAACGCAGCATGGACACTCACTGGTGCAATTCTTAAACAAGAAAACGTATGCAACATAGAACATCAGAAGACATTACTAATAGTAGATGTGACAAAGATGTGACAAATAGTAGGTCTATGTTGAAAAATAATATGCAGGATCAAATTAAATCACTACACACACTAGCAGAAAACTTGGACTGACTAAAACAGGACGTACATCTCTGGATGCTTGATTCCTCGCTCGTAAGCCAAATCTCTGTATGCTTTACAGGCCATCAAAATGCTTTCAGTTCCACCAGAGGTGACCTAGGCAAATACACAAGGAGCAAGGGACAGATGCAGTATCAGCGTCAGTGGCAGTATGGTGTGTTGTACATCATTTCAATTTTAACTGGATGATTATTGGTTCATTTCAACAGGAAAGTTACAACAGGATATGTTTCCCTTGCGATTAGTATCCTCACATGTGAGCATTTGGCTGCTAATCAAAATGGGTTAACTAAATTTTGGAAGGAAATCCCCTGAGACCTAAACATCAATCATAATTTGCTTAAAAAGAATGAAAACAGACTGACTGTGCCACAGGAGTCTGGCCCGCCATTGAAAAGTGAACATGCCATCCGCACCACCTCTGCTTCCATCTTTCTCACCCCAGGGAAAATGTCTGGATGGAGGGGATTGCTCCAGGCAAAGTCACCATACACCTGGAGATGGGTAAAAAAAAGATCTAAATAAATGTACAATCCACATAACCTAACATAATTAGCATTGTTCCAACATGAAACCTGAGTTAATTATTAAACCAGATGGATTTTCTTTAGTTTTCTTGAAAACAAAGGAAAAGCAGCTAAATGTATTTAATGTTAGACTTGCTTTTAAAAATACTAAGCAAAAATACACCTTCACTAGGAGTTCTGTGAGCTTTTCATCCCCCCAGTAGACTGCCCCTGACACTTTGCCTTTGGTCCACTGCACTTCATCTGTAACAAAGAGAAAAATGTTGAAAAAAGGTTGCATTTACATTAAATGCCTGAGGTATAAAACAGTGTATCACATATGCTCTAATAAGGATTACAATACAAAATGAAATGGTAATCATAAGGAAAAGAAATATATATGTTTTATTTTTTATAGAAAGAACCTTAGTGTCCATGTACTGACTGATGTGTGTCAGTATTAATGTCAATCCAGTGCTGTACTGATCTTTTAAATGTAGTCCAACACCAGACAGCTTGAAGTGACTCACTCAGTGTCTGGTACTGCCTGATGCTGTCCAGGACTTGTTTCTGGGAGAGGCCATGTGCTGGCAGGAGCTTAGTGTAGCTCATTCCCTCCTTCAGCGTGCACAGACTCATCGACATGTCATCCAGAGCTTTGTTCAGCTGTTTCTGGATCTACAAAGGGGAAGTGAGAAAGACAGAAATGACAAGAAATTACTGTCAAACTGCCAAACCTTCTAAAGAAATTTACATACGGTTGATAAGCAGCACAGTTAAGCTTATAGATGAATGTTAGTGGTGTGAAATTGCACCGATGTTATATGGCGCACCTATTAGAAAGAAGAAATGATAGAAATTATAATCAATTATAATAACATTCAATAAAATATATTCTCATTTTTGGACTAAAACAAAATTCTCTGGCTATTTTCAAATGTCAAAGAAAACAGCATATTAAGAGTGTACTAATTGCTTGAGTATTAACTTTCAATTGTCTACATCACATTACTGTGTGAGTCGTTCTCCTACTAACATTCCTCATTCAAGGTATTTTTTAAAATAATTCTGCACTGTATTAGAATAATCCAATCGTGGTATAACCTGAGATGTCCGTGAGTCTGAAATCTTTTTTAAAACTGAATCAAATCATTGTGGGGTCAGACATTTTCTCTATTAGTGACCACAAATGTTTTACTTAAACAGCAAAGACTCATTCGGAAAAACATGACGATGGCCTGGAGTAATCCCTGGAATAATCACAGGGTCATGATGTAAAACGTTTTTTAAAAGTTTCACTGCTGCTACAGCATCATAAGGAATGAGTCAGATGTGTTAGATCAGCAGCAAATAAAACCCTAAAGCCTTTTTAAGGAAGCGGCAGAGAACAGAAAACCACAAGACACTTACTGACGTGCCAATAAATGGAATTTTTCTGATGAGTCGAAAGCACTGCTTCTTGATTCGAGACGTCAGACCTGCAGACCCCAAAACAAACATCAGACTGTGGAACAAATGTGACGTATTTTGGGAACAAACATGTCTGAATGCAACACTACAGATTTTTAATATGTTTTTATTATTATTACTTTGTAACAGCTAATGGCAGCTTACCAGCAGCCACAATCAAACCCTTCATATCTATATTATATATATATATATATATATATATATATATATATTTATAATGACATTACAAGACACAATTCAAGCAACTGCTTGAAGAGTGACTTAGAGGAGAAACTACAATGATTTTAAAAGCACCCTTAATATAATATTTCATTATTATCTAACCAGTTTAATTACAAAATGTTACTGTATAATGATTCCAGTTACATTTTAACACATTTCTGGCTTGAGAATTTATCCCACTCTTCTGATGTGTTGGTCTTGGCTATTTGGATTTACTTACTCTCCTGCTGAAAGAGGAAGCCCTTGGCCCACACTGTCCCAAGGGTGAGCAGCAGTGTGGCCGCAATGATCTGCCATGGCTCCAGATCCGCACACTGGGAGTTGACGTAATTCTTTGCCTCCTGACAGTGCAGCAGCAACATCTCCTTATACACTTCCAAGGCACTCTAAACAGAAGAGCAAAAATACAGTAAATCAAGACAGTACTGGTGCTAGGGATGAGCTATATGATAAGCTCGCTTAAAAAACGGACCCACAATAAATGATCTTTATTGTTTTTTATGGTCACATAGCTGCTTTACTGAAAAATCTCAGGTTGCTGTATCTCCACAGATATTATAAAGTAAACGGCTTGAAATCTGCTTGTAACTGCTGTCCCATCATTTCTTTTTTCTTCCAGTGACATTTCATACTTGCCAATAATAAAATTTACAAGCTCACCAGACTGCAGTAATTGCTGAATTCACATCAAAACACTTATTGTTACTGAACAATTCCTATTGTCACTCAAGTTTCCTCACTATTGTTCAACACAGGCGCCTGTCAACCCTTAAAATGTCAAGGTTACACAATTAACATTGTCATTTCACCAAGTACACCAAGCTAAGACCCTTCTGACCCGTCAGTGTTCCAGTTTTAATGTTACATTGTATATAAGACAGATGATTGATGGTGTTTTAAACTAGGTCATGTTCTTATAATGGTGAAACAGCTAGAAGTATGAGAAAACAGTATTTTAAAAAAAAATAATATAGTAATTACGTTAGTAGAAATAGCCATCTTTATATCTCTACAAGCCACATGTGAAAAAAGTAAAAAGACTACACAACCTCTAACTAAACCTGACAGTCCGGTGGAAACCGAACTTTATCCTGCTTGACACATTTTGCTGTTTGTTATCAATTATCAGAAACACAGACTGCAATTTCCCACTGAAACTGAACCAGATAGCAAACACATTTTTGTAAGCAAGCATAAAAATACACAATGAAAAAATCTTAATGTTAAATGATTAATGCATATCTAAGGCCTTTTGTAAGGGCACTAATATATATTACAGCTATTCTGCAAATGCACTTATCTCTTTTTTACAACACAAAGACACTAGATAACAATGCTGAGAGTTTCTCAAGAGACACATGCAGATGTAGGCTGAAGGTCCATGACATATTTTAACCACTTTCATAACTGCTGAATTAAGGTGTCAGCACATATGGCTATCTTGAACAACCATTGTGCATAGGTCCCTGATAAGATCTTTGATTAAATTAGAAGAGTAGAAATAACAGTGATGTAAAAAAGTTAAATTAGCCAAAAGGAATGACTTGTTCAACAGTCCACTATTCTTAAAAATACCTTGTTTTGTCGATTCTAAACTAAATGAAAAATGTATAAGGCTCAGCTGGAGCAGTCATACTCATTAGTGTAATCTAAACCACTTTCAGACTCGACCCCCATTTTACTTTTGATGAACGTTATGCATGACTCTGCTATTAGGATCGTCAGAGGGGTAACGAATGAACTAGTTAATGAGCATAATCACTACCTAAGACTACACCCAGTGAATGGAAGTTTAAAATCTGGTCCAAGCTCTCTGACAGGTTTGACAGGGTGAGCCAAGACTGGAAAGCAGGTAAACAGGTCACAGAGGAGCCACAGAAACCCTCTGACTAGGAAGAGCGTCCACTGTGACACTAGGATCCATATACAACAAAGGGGCAATGCACAGACATGAGTGCAGCACCAAAACCTGGGCAAAAACGTGGCAACTGTTTATGCATGTTGATTCAATAAATGTTGTTTATATAATGCGATAAAGAAGCATTATTTTTTGTCTCCAAGCCCCTGCAATTACCATAAGAGCAGAGGAGACCATGGTTTGACATCATTTGTGTTCATGGGCAGTTTTTTTGTGCCCGTTTTAAATTATATAGTTAACTCATACATCAAATAAACCTTACTTACTGTACATTTCCATGACTAATAGCAGATAAAGTAATTGAGTGATATCTTAGAAGTACATTAATACAACATGATTCAACATGGAAGTCAGTAAGCCTGCCTCCATTTTGCAATTAACTTAAGCATTCATTTTAAAGGCCAATTAGATTTTTACACATTTCTGCCTAATTTCAGTCAGTCAGAGTGATTTGATGCAAAAGCGTTCACTATAGAGAAACATACTGTTTCAGAATTATTTATAAAGGTGTTGTTAGGAACCAGGGGTTGCAATATGTACAACACAAATATAGCCATTTATTTTCCATCCAAAAAGACCAGGAAACCTATACATGCATTCTGAGCTTTTACATATAAGGTTAATAATGATAAAATTGAGGTTGATCTAAAACAAGTTTGTGGTAGATCTGCAAAACAAGTTTTGTATTGCAATGTTCTGTATGTATCTCTCCACTATATATACATCTTAAAAACATTCTCAGGCCTCAGGTAGTGTATTCATAACCGTTTAATGTTCTGTGAAGTAGCTTTTAGAGGCATTATACTCTTCAGATGTCTGGTTTCTATCACCACCACTGAACAATTCTGACTGTAAGTTTCTCTAGAATAGATAGGCCTGTCACAATTATTACCTAATCACCTAATGGCAATCATTTGAGAGGATCGCAATTATTCTCCACAGTCTACACATTTCACACTCTTATTATGCCACAACAAGCAAAATGTGAATTGTGTGGGTTGGGTTAAGGCACATTAATGTAAATAAGAGAATGCAGTAAATGCATTCATTGAGACACATCATGGGAGTTGTGAAAACAAGAAAAGTTCTAACTTGTAACTTTGTGCTCTAAGATGTTTTGGTTCCTAGCTGATCAACCATTTTATGCTTGTACTTTAGCTGCAGACAATGAAAAAGAAACGCCAATCAAATTGTTAATCGCAATTACATGACAATTCACTGTCAGCTAAAATGTCTTGATCATGACAGCCCAGAAAACACAACATTTCACATGAAAACCACTCAGAATGACTTAATTTATGTTTTACTTATTTAACTGTGCAAAAAATCACTTTAGTTTCTTATCAGGTCCTACCGCGTTTACTTCCTTAACCTATTACTTTAGAACCAGCACCAGGCAGGAATCAGTGTGATAGAAGATAATACAAAAATACTATCTTTATCTTCAGTCTCTTGAGAAAATGTACAATACAATACATCAACCCTCCTCTATCGGAGAAAGGCCCAGAATGGCACTAATACAAAACAAATGTATTAGAAATTACACAGAAGTGTCCCTAACACACTTCTGTGTAGAGTTGAAGACAACGCTTTTTTCTAAAATGTGTTAAAACAGATGAGAGTTACAAAATGTGTTTGAAAAAAAAAAGTTAGTGAGTGGACAGAGGCTGACAGCTGCTTCAATGTATGCATTTATACATTTTAAGTCATGTCTCCTCAATGTATCCAGGCTCTAACGTTCACAGAGCAGATTAGCTCAAAAGCTGAGGCATCAGTGGTCATAAACAGCTGAGATTAGGTTATCTTATACAGGGCAAAAGGCAAAGAGAGTAGCAATATGTTTCAATAGATGGATCCTTACACAAGGCTGCTTTGTTATCTAGCATATTTCTCTCTGTATTTGCAAGATAACATGATTGATTTTGCTAAACAAGACTTGTGAACATGTTTTTGAACTGAAGACTGAAGAAATATTTGGTCAATTTTACAAGGACCATAGCTTCCCATTGTGTTGCAGACACGAGCGCCCTTGTTACTCCCATGCTTAGACAAGCTTTGTAATGAAGGCTTTGTTGAGCCTGGAAGGAGATCATATTTCTATCTGAGAAGTATTAGTGTTTAGAAGGCAACAGACTGCTAATGTAGCATCATACTTTGTTCCTTCTCAACTGCTTCATGTAATATCTGACTGAGCTGCAATCTCAAAAAGCATACATGAATCAGTTCCATGTAACATGATGGAATCAGTGCATGGTGAAGCAGACCACGATGGTCACAAACACTGTATTGCACAACACATCACGAGTGCCTGACTTAAGCTGTGAAACAGAGTGAACAGATGTTGTTGGACAGCAGTCAAAGCAGATCTGCCCACTGCCCTCATTGTACATTGCTTTGTTAATAATAGCACTTCCTGTATGTTTGTAGCTCACACAGGAAGTCTCTTGATGGACAAGCACACAATGAACTGTTCCAATCTAAAAATTCCCCCCTACTGCACCTGCAGAAACAACTGAAACAGACAGGGGGTCTTTCACTAGGATAGATTGTTAATAAGCAGATTTTACTAACTACGATGTCATTTTGATAGGACTGTCACCCCGGCCTGAACCCATGTTGCTTGGAGATATTTAAAAAACCCAACATTTCTGTACTGCACTCCAGTGAGTGACAATATGAAAGAGATTCTGCAGAAAAAGTATGTAATCAGCCACACAAATCTACATACTCTCAACACACACTAGAAAACTTCACGTTATAACATGCTGTTTGTGCAGAGGACCTCATTCCTCACTAGCTATGTGGAGGTTTATTTTAAGAGATTCCTTCACTTAGTGATGGCTAGAAAGAGGTCCCTGTCGGTAAGTGCTTATGAGAACGTCTCAGACTTTTGAGCTTTATCATTTTCCTCTAGACCAAGCGTGCCTCCAAAAGAGACAAGCTTCAGTTCCTATGCTGATAAATGCTGGATAAGTGAAGAAATTCCACTGCAGTTCTTTAAAGGGGAAATCCACAGATTTCTCATCATGACTGTACAGTTAAATAGCTGAGATGTGAACAAAGTCAATTAGAGTTGTGTGATGTGAAATGCTTCATTCTTGAGATCTTGCCAAGTTAGAATTATTCACAGTGGTAGTGAGTAGGAACCAGAAGTTTTTAATGCCTCTAAAAGCTCTGTTATAGTCTGTCATGCTCTGTCATGCACGAGACATTGTGACATTGTGCTCTGTCATGCACAAGACATTGTTTTACTATAGTTTTGAGAGAAGGTTTTGGCCTTATTTTTTAAAAGGCAGAAAGGTACAGGTACACAGTTGTAAGGCAAAACAGTCCCCAAAGTAAACTTATTTTTCCTGATTTACCACTATTTTACCATCATTGACAGTACAAAAAATGAAACTCCAAAGACACGTGTAGGTTCACTGTTGGTTTTGGATAGGAAATAAAAGGGCTATATTGATGTAGTAGACATCAGGACTCCTGGTTCCTATCACCACCACTGTAAAGAAATTTCAGCTTTCCCCACAATGAGTCATTTCACAGCAAAACACTCTGAAAGGTTTTCTTGAAAAATCAGTGGAACTCCCCTTTAAGGTTCAGTTTCTCAGTACTTTAGTACGTTTTTTGAACAGGTACTACTGCACTTCTGCTCAAGTTGTGACTTTTACTTCACTTTTCTACTTGAGTCATAATTTCACAGAAGTAACAATACTTCTACATGATCATGAATTTAGGCGACTCTAGCGTACAGAAGCTTCAGCCTACTGGGCAGAGTAAAAACAGGGCTGAATATGCTCAAAAACAAAACAACACAGGGACTGCTCACACTGTACTGCCGTGTGATTCCAAGTGTCAAAGACACTGACTGACTGACCAGATCTCAAAATGGACCATGAATCTTTATCCGTGCCGCAACAACTGAACTGCTAAGACCTGGGGTTAAAATTTGCTCTCTGTGCACCCGGTGTGAACTCCTGCCTGAGCTGCTGCTGTTCGTGTGGTCCTTCATCATGACAAATTTGTTTAGAAGCGCTGCTCCACTTCTATTGTAACACACGTTCTTGAACTGACATTAAACATGAGACACACTTACCCAGTAGTCCATGTCGCTTTGTCAAGTGCACACCAGCAGAAAACAGATGTCGATGCTGCCTAGCAGTAAAAAAGCAACTGCTGAGACCTTTTGTTTGAGTTGTTACACGAACACCGACGACCGACTTACATGACCCAATCACGGGCTCAACCCCTCTATCAGGAAGTGCTCAGTAAGAGCCAGTACGATTCGTTTGGCAGCGTGCAGGCGGAGGGTAAGAGCTGAGCTGAGACGAACTTCAAGCCATATCCATTTCCTCACGCGCTAAACTTCACCGCGACACATGATGTGGAGATCTGCTCAGTCGCTTCCGCTCATCTACGCCGAGCGCTGAGCCAAGCACTTTCGTCGCCAGTGACGTTTTCCGGAAGACTATTAGGATCCCTTTTTTATTCATCTATTTTTTTTTACTGGATAATACCCGGATTACGGATAGAAAACGTTTTATAGCCCTGTTGTTCTTAGAATTTTCAATAGCTATAAAATAGTGTTTAATATTTGTATTTGTGAATATAGAATTTAGCATGAAAAATCAATAAATTAGTAAGACAGAACTTTGTTTCGATTGCAGATATTATAGAACTCAAACAATACATTTTTAAAAAGTAAAGAAAAATCAACTAAAAATCAACTAAAATATTGCCAATTACATATCTTGCCATAATTTCGTCGTATATGAACAGTAGGCCTACTACAATAAATGCAAAAGGGTTTCAGGACGCTCTGTACAGAATCTTTAGCCAAGGCTGATATCATTTTTAAACTCTTGTAAGAATACATTGGATAACATCTGTGGATCTTTTTTAAAAGACATTTCTTTAATTTTATTTGTAAACAAATATTTTTCAAGTCCAAACCATTTCCATCTCATATTATTTACTAAGCCCATTCAGTTCTCATCTACACTCGAGCAGCTCTCGGTGAGTAGCACTGTGTACACTGCGAGTAAAAGTAGAGCTTGATTTTGACTCGCTGGTATGAGATAGCACTGTTCAAAAAATCCTTTCTTTAAATGTGCCCCAAATACACAGTGTTAAATATCAAAGGGCCCATATTGTCACAAAAATTGCACATGTACCACATGTTCAGGCTACAGTAGTTTAGTCTGACTATTCACACTGAAGGATATAAGGAGCACAAGGCAGGGCTGTGAGTTAGAACAGGGATCATTTACATATCAGTCTTAAAAGACACAGTAACAAAAACAGCCTGCTGGAAAATGATCATGTAAAAACGAATTTTGGTTGTGTCTCATAAAATTGTGTAAACATTATTTGTGGATTTCTGGGGAAAAATAAAATACAAGAAAATGCAGTTGGGCCCTTTAAACTCATTTGTCTTTTACTCAAAACAGACAGACGCCCCAGTCCAGTACGGCCTCCAGCCTCATCCACTGTCCTAATTGGCTCAGTCAGTTTTTACTGACTCATGCTCACACCTTCATTTGAAGAAGTTACAGAAAGCAACCAAAAGATCAGTTGAATAGAATAGAAGACCTTGTAGATTACAGACATCTGTGGTTCACAAAGTAAGTTTGCTCCCATAATCCAACAAGAGTAGAGCTTATAAGAGAGATAAGAGAGAAAGAGTGACCCCTATCAACCAAACAGTCCATTTGCATCTGAGGTCACTGATCTCTGCTTTGTATTTAGCAAACATTCTTAAAATAGAAAGGTTCTAAACAAATATAAAACATTTTTATCTATATTGTACTCAATCTAAGGAAAGATTTTAGAACATATGGATTAATTTCAACAATCTGTTCTTTCATTTTGTTAATAAGAAGATTCATAAGAGTAAAGACCACACTTTTCTCCACTGCTATATCACCCCAATATGTCCACGTGATTATGTGAATGAAGCTCTAACAACTACATTCTGTGCCATTCTGATGCTCTGTTGAAATTCACCACATTATGATTTGAGATCTTCTAATATTATTGGCCAACCACTTTGGAAAACCATAAACCAAATTTTAAATTCTATAAAGATGTTATTAATAAATAATTAATGAATTAATAAAGCTTTTTTAATGGATTGTTTATCACTGACGTTCTGAAAATACAAGCCCAAAATTGACTTGTGTCCATGCATGATTACTTTCTAGTCAGTAAGACATCATTGATTCTTTTGGATAATATGCTATAAACATCCAAAGAGTGAGCCCTATAAGTAAGTCTGGATGGGTCTTAAAGTTTAGAACATAAGATTCTCCTTTTTGAGAGTAAATATCTAAATGTAATTGGTTTGTGCATTTTCAATAAGGGGGTTTACATTTTAACAAGCACTTTGTATTTTGTTCTTTGGTGATGACTGTACGCAGGAATGTTACCTGATTCTTTAGTTGGATATGGCATTCACATCCTTTAATGTCAACTTTAAATCAAAATAGATCTTTTATACCTGGTCATAATTAGCATGATTAACATATTAAGCATGAATTATCAAAATTCCTGTTCTCATTAGTCTAACAATAAAATGTAATGACTTTGCCTGCCAAACAGTCATCTGAGTTTTGATTATAACAGTATGCACCAGCAGGCAGGGAAAATAATATTAACCAATAATATCACGGTGCACTCTTTAAAAAGATGGTTCTTCAAGGGTTCTTTAGTAAAGACAATGGTTCTATATAGAACCATGAACATGCAAAGACCCATTTGCATGCTTACAGTTTCTTTGCATGGTCAAATGATTCTTCAGATTGAAGGCGAATGTGTTATATCTAGTACTATATTGAACATTTTTTAAAAGAGTTCAACATAGATCATGTCATATAATTAAATGTACATAAATGTCGACTACAATCAACATTTTTGTACATTCTTAAAAAAGATTAACGATTTGCACCAAAAAGTGTTCTACTATTGTCACGATGTCAAGCTTGTAACAATAAAAGAATCCTTTTTGTTGCAAATCGTTAATCTTTTTTAAGAATGTACAAAAGTGTTGGTTGTAGTGGACATTTATGTACATTTAATTATATGACATGATCTGTAATACCAATACCAATAATGTATTCCTGACAATTCCACAAAACTAGTAGTTCATATAATCACAATTACAAGATCAAAATTACACTTACATATTCTTATGGGCTGCCAAAGATGGGGCAAATGGATGAAGAAAATCAACAAATTCACAGCGCTATGTGTGAGGTGAGGTCATAACTGCTCTATAAATGTAGAAGAATTAAATTTCAGCATTGCTCAAAACATAGTAATGCCCTCAGGAAGCGCACTGTTAGAAATAAAGGTTCTGTGCAGGTACATTTTTCAGTCATCAAGGTACAAACAATGTAAATGTTCCCTCAAAGGTACAACAGTGGTTTTAAGGTCCAATTGTGTACACTAAGTAAGTTTTTCCCAGGTGAAAAGTATGCAGTCCTGTGTTTTCATAACCTAATGCTTTAAAACAGAACAATAAAATAAAAAGCCTGGAGATGAGATGGGGTGTGTGGATTCAATACAACTTAGAAAATATAATTTTAGTGGATTATGGTACAATTATGTTCCTTGACTAAAGGTACTGAGATGTAACCCTGAGGATACCACCCTAGTGACAGTTTAGTACTTTGATGGAGCAATTCTGTCTACCACTCAGGTAAAATCCATTGTTTTGACTGTGTAACTCCTTGATTTCTGTCACTGAAGCAAAAACAAATAAATGATTATCTGATGGTCAAATTCACACAATGCCTCAAAGCGTGAACTGAGGACAACAGAGAAGATCAAGCATTTATTTAGGATGTATCCAAATTTCACTGCAAGAGAGGGCATGTAGATCTCCCACATGTTTAACTGGTAATTGTAAGTATAAAGCAATTTTGGTGAAATTCGTATAACACCTGTTTGTGTCCACCTAAGTGTGGACCACCTAAAAAGTCTCAGTGCTCCAAGAAATGAGATATTTACTCAGTTGTGGTGAGCAGAAATAACAACAATGTAATTTATAAGAGCTGATGGGGCACCATAGACATACAGAGATTCAACACTATACAGGGTCACATCGATTATCTGATCACAGATTTTTTTTCCCCAATGACAGGCTTGTGAGGCTTACAAGGCCCAGGCTTTCCACATAGTCTCTAGGTCTGCTGGCTTACAGTCCATCAGCCAAGTCTTGGGACAAGAGGCACATTCATCTAGAATGTAAATGCCTACATTCAAACCCCTCGCTGTCACTGGAGGTTCTTGGTGAAGGAGGCAGCCTTAGTGAGGGGAGCAGCTGTTTGTTATTTTATCATAAAGCCATTAGTAAAACATGGTGGTTGCAACTCTGAATTGTGTGTGACATTCCCAGGATGAAGGGAAGCAAAAAGAAGACATTAAGTAATTGAACAGTCAAGCCAAGAGAGAACTACAATGAGTTGAAGTATTCATGCTATGGCTGCCCCAAAAAACCTAGTACAGGCAGTTTCACTGAAAAATGTTAGCTAAGCACTGAGAAACCAGTGGTGCAGATTAGGTTGTTAAGGGGGTGCAGTTCCGTAAGGTATAGTTAGATGACACAACCACACCCAGCTGTAGCCTCAGTTATATGTTAAAAATACCACTAGAACTGAAAGATAGCAGTTAGCATCTGGATTACGGCATCTATGAGGTGTGCGAAATGTTGCAGCTACCAAGTAACAGGCTCTAGAGTAATGAAACCTAAGGAAGGATGTGGCTAGATGATGCAGCTACCACTAGCTAGGGAGTGGTGGTTAACTTCCTAATTAGTCAAACGCTTTTTGTAGCCAGTACAGAGAGTAGTCTTTCTATTCTTGCTTAAACATTTTCACCCTCTCTTCTTGGCAGAATGTTTCTAGTTCTGCAATATTCTTGGGCAATCTTGCATAAACAACACACACATTTGAGATCTACCAGCAGATTTTGAATGATGTTCCATAATAATAAGGGCCATAATAATGACCTCAGCTTGCATTTCTTGACGTAGTTTTCGGTGGATTGTGTAGTCCATTCGTAGCAGCCAGTCTCCTTCCAGCTTCATTTTCTGACAGACTGTCCCATTTGCTTAATAATAATAATAATAATAATAATAATAATAATAATTAGTGTTATTTAATGGAATCCAGTCTTCCCTGTGCCACTGGCTGCCACACAGTCCCAAATCAAAGCAGATCTACCCCCATGCGTAACACTTGGTAAGATGTTCTTTTCATCAAATGCTGTC